TGCGACAGACGGACACAGACACAGAGTGACCGACTGAATGACTGACCGTTAGCCGGACGAACAGGGTTCGGACACGACACGACGATATAGGCGGCCTTGTCTGCGACCCTCCTGTTCCGGCTGGGGGGTGTGCATGTGTGAGTGGAAAGCCCAAAAAGAAGGGAGTTAAAAATCACTCAGGAAAAAAAGCGTGTCGAGCATCAGTCCATCATCATGCTTGCGTCGGCGGTATTTTGGGCATGTGAGGCTTGCCGGGGTTTTTGGCAGGGGTGTGGGGAGGAGGAGGCATTCATCTTTTTTCCCCCGTCTGTTCTGATTCAAGTCTTGTGAGGGCTTGTCGGTGGGCGACTGGGGGATATTTTGAGTGGTAGTTTGTTGCTCTCGGTTCTAGAGACCGCTTTGCAGAGAAGGCCGTTGGGTCTCCCGTCACGGCGCCTAGCGCTCTCTGGCCGCTTTTTTACAGTTTTGGCAATGTCCGATATTACTTTGAGGTCAAAAAAGGTTATGTCTGTGTTCTTTTGCTTTTGTTTTTAATGACAAGAACCCAATTAACTCCATCAGCCACTTGCTGCTTTTTTCACAGCAAAGCCACAGACGGGTCGGGTCGTGTCCGGTGGGGGGGGGGGGGGGGGACTCGATTTACATTTTTTTTTTGGTGAACACAAAGTCGGCGAACGAGTTTGTGCATGACGGACGGGAAGGCGGCGGCGAACTGCCGAAAGGCTATTGATGTTCAGGATAGCCCATGTAACACGCAACGGCTTTTTCGGGGGGGAGGGGGGGCGGGTCGGTAGATGCCGAAACCCCTCCTTCTCACGGATCTCCGTGGAATATGCCTTTGGCGATTTTAAAGTTGGAATGCCGCCGTTTTGCGGTGTACTCAACGCCGACTTCGCCGACTTCGCCGAATGAGTAGACTAGTTGACTCTCACCGGGAGAGCAGCGAGCAGTGCATGTCGATCGTACAAATCGCAAAGTCCACGACGCTCGGGGTGACTCACGGGGGCCTCGGGCGCGAACATGGTACTTAAGATCTCTCGAGACGTTTTGAGTTGGGAGGCACGTTCTGTTCAGTTCAGCCACAGAGTCAGTTTCGACCACTTGTTTTCAAGAAAGAGGAAAAGGAAACTCTATCATCACGGCATTGTTCACCGGTATTTCACATATGACCATGGCCGATCAGACGGCCCCGCCCGCCGACCTCAAGTCGCGCCTCAAGGCGTCCTACGACGCCATTGCGCCGAAATACAACGAGTGGACCGTCCCCCACTCGGCGACGCGCCTGCACTACCTCAACCAGCTCCTCGACCGCCTCCCCTCTCCGGAGAGCGACAACGACGGCGATACCGCTGCTGCCGCCGTGTCGGTCCTCGAGATTGGATGCGGCCACGGCCTGCCCGTCACGCAGACGCTGCTGGCGCGGCCCAACACGACCGTCACAGCCAACGACCTGTCGAGCGCGCAGATAGCCCTCGCGCGCCGCAACCTGGCGTCGGCGGACGTGGCGCGCCTGACGCTCGTCGAGGGCGACATGCTGGCGCTCGACCTGGCGCCGGCGAGCCTCGATGCCGTCGTCGGCATGTACTCGGTCATCCACCTGCCGCGAGCCGAGCAGGTGCAGATGCTGGGCCATATAGCAGCGTGGCTCAAGCCCGGCGGCTGGCTGCTCGTCAACTTTGGCACGATCGCGGCCGACGGCCTGCAGACGGACGACTGGCTCGGCGAGGGCGCCGGCTGGATGTACTGGAGCGGCTGGGGCCGCGAGGGGTCGCTGGAGAAGGTGAGGGCGGCCGGGTTCGAGGTTGTCGTGGAGGAGACGACGGAGGACGCTGAGGATGCTGATTTCCTGTGGGTTCTGGCCCAGAAGCGCGAGTCCTGAAGGTCTGCCGCTCAGGACTGTGTAGCAACTCACCTGCCAAAGCTGTGATGGGCATGATATGGGTAGTGCAACCTGATCTCGTCAAAAGTCGAAGAGCTGCGACGTCTGAATATTGTGCATGCTGTGGACTGTGAGTTATGCATGGCCCGCCACGCGATACTCAACATGGTGCGCTTCAGCGTAAAGCAGCAATGGTTCTTGGGCAGTTGAAGTGATGGGTGTGCAGGGGCCGCGCGGGCTGTACCGCAGCCCGCCTCTGCCGTAACCTTTGCCTCTGCCTTTACCTTTACCTTGCCACAGGTATGCCATGCCATGCAGTGCCTTGCTTTGCTTTACTTTGCGTGGATTTCACCTTACCCCTCCACCCGCCCAACTACGACGGACCCCGCGCATGTAATGTTTTCCACCCCTGCACAGGCCTGCAAAGACCCCGCCCCCCCCCCCTCCCCAGCTTCCCCCAGCCGCCATGTGCGCGTCGACATGTCATGTTCGCATCAGGATGCGTCGTTCTATCAGTCATGCGTCCCCTATTTGACCACCCGAACGATGATTCTACGTTGGGGAGGTGTGTGTGAAATGTGATATTTTCTCCGTTTCCTTTCTCTATTGCCGCGTGCCCGATCGTGCGTCGGCCGGGACATGGATTGCGTGCGTACCAGGGGGGGCATGGTCAGATGACAGACGGACGGAGCGGACTTTCTCGAACAACAGACCGAGAGAGAGAGATGCGAAAATGTGGGCAGACGCCCACGGAAAATGTCGTCTGTCGCGCGAGGCCAAGCGGAATGAGGCCATGTTGTTTGCGTGCGGCTCCGATGGGAGGTTTCATCCTGAGGGGGACCCCAGCTGAATGGCAGACTGGCGAGTGGAGGAGAATTTTTAATCAGATGGTGTATCTGTCCGGCCGGTTCTGTATCTCGGCTGGCTGGCTCTTGGCTTTTTTTGGTGGTGGTGTATCATATCGTAGTCGTATCCTTGATGTCTTTTCTTGCGACGCGCGCATGCCCAAAGTGGTAAGGACGCGAGAGGGTTTGAGAAACGGCAGGTTCGGCTGTCTTGCCTTTCGATGATCGCCCTCTACCTGCATTTTTGCCTCGGCCTTTCCCCCCCATGTCCGTTTCGCAATGTCGTGAGATGCAGAGCAAGATGCCGTGGAAGGTTAGAGGCGGTGGGAAGAAAAATGCGAATCCGGACCCCCTTCACCCACGGCATCCGATTCGATTCGATGGCTCGCTTCTGCAGCCATGTACCTGCTCGTCACTGTACATCTCTCTGGCCGAGTCACGAGAGAGATGAAAGGGGGAGCGGGCTTGGTCATGAGAAGTGCAGCGCCGGGTGGGGGTTGTTCGGCTCATTCTGCGTCAGTGGTGGCGACGCAGTCAAGATGAGGAAGATGGACCGAACAGTTCCTGCGCCGAAAAAACGCCTCTTCTGGGGATCATCGCGGTCAACAGGTGACGATGTCTGTTTGCGGCCGGGCGCCCGCTCTTCAAGGGGTCGGCAAGCGGTAAGCGAGGTCTTTTGATGAAGGGGGTATCCGGGGGGAACTGACGGGGTGGATGATCGCGTACAGGATACGTGCGTCTTGATCTTCAGGGGGAGGCAAAAGGCGGAATTCAAGGGGCCGCTGTCTTGTGTCACTTTGGGGTGATGGGGCCGAGTATGGGGGGAGAGAAGGGGGGGGGAGGTAGCCTGGAGGGGCAGCCTAGAAGGGGAAGCGTCGAAGGAGAAGCCTGGAAGGAGAGCCTGGGGGGCAGCCTAGAAGGGGACGCCAGGAAGGAAAGCCTGAAAGGGATTGGAAGGAATGCCTGGACGTGGTTTCTTGACAGCGGGCGCGCCATGTTGAAAAAGAAGGGTCCAGTGGGCCATCGGCCTGGGGATGACTAAGCAAGGCAGTCGTCCACCGGTCACGTGCCTTCGCGACGACATGCAGTTTGATATCGCGATGTCCAATGACAGGATCTGGGTTGAACGACCACAATCGCCATCACCTGGCGCCTAACACCCCTCACCTCACCACCCAGCATTGTGTCTGTGAACGGTCCGAAACCACAACTTGAAGAACGGCACGGCTCAAAGTTAGACATTGACATCATCAACATCGCGGCGCTCAAGCGATCCTCTCCATCTTACGACACATGCCATGACGTGACGCCTCACCTCGAAACCCCGCCATCATACTAGATACGTCATCTAGCCCACGAGCATGCCCTCATTTGAGCTCCATGTTTGGGGCCCGGCCTTTGGCCTCCCCTCTATCGACGCAGAGTGTATCGCCGCCATTGCCTACCTGCACAAGGCTCTTCCCAGCGCAGAATGGACTCTCATTCCCAGTAGCGACCCCTCCGTCACTGCAGCTCGTAGGTTCATTTCCTGAAATGTCCCTGTTCAAACAATGCTAACAAAAAGAAAGATCGCCTCCCTGCTCTTCACTCAACGGTCACAGACACGTGGTCTTCCGGCTATGCTGCCATTGCCGCCCAGCTCGCCCAAACGCCCTACTCTCTAGACGCATCTCTCACGCCCGCGCAGGCAGCTGATGTGGCAGCTTACTCCTCCTACCTCACCACACGCCTGGCACCTCTCCTCGACATATCACTACACGCCCTGCCGAGGAACTGGGCCCAGACGACCCGACCCGCCTACAGCACCATCCTGCCGTTCCCCTTAACCTGGACCCTGCCCACGGCCCTTCACGCCGCCGCTCTCGACCGTTCCGCCCCGTACCTCGCCGGCCTGACGCTGCCCGACGAAGACAGCGACGACAAGGAGACGACGAGCGCCCTCGACGCCGCTCTGAAGCACATCCCGGCGCCGCGCAAGAAATCCCCCCTCGAAGACCTCGCACCCACAGAAGCGGCCACCATCCGCCTGCACGCCCTCGCCCTCGACGCCCTCGCCCCACTCAACGCCCTACGCGCCGAGGGCGAGGAATCCCCAGGCACAAGACTCCGTCTCTCGCCTTGTCCTTCGTCTTCGGCCGACCCAGACACGGCCCCCACGTCCCTCGACTGCCTCGCACTCGGCTATCTCGCTCTCATCCGCCGCGCCCCCGTCCCCCACGACTTCCTACGCAAGGCCCTCGAGGCCAACTTCCCGACCCTCGCCCGCATGACCGCCGACCTCGCCGAGACGTGCCTCACCGCCCCGGGCCCCCTGCCATGGGCCCCCGACAGCGCCACGCCGACCGTCGCCCGGACCCTCTCGCGCTTCGCCGCCGACGTGCTGCGCGTCACGCCCGTCGCGGGTCCGTACTTCGTCGGCGAGGCGCGTCGGCGCGCCGAGGACCCCGAGAGCGGTGCCGCCGTCGTCGCGGCGCGGGCGCTGGGCCTGCTCGCCCTCGGCTCGGCCGTCGCATACGGCGCGTGGACCTACCGCGGCATGGCGCCGTTTGGGCTCAAGAAGCAGGCGTGGGCGCGGCCGGCGGGGGGTCGGCTCGGTCATTTCGGCGCGCTGGGCGCCATGCTGGACTTTTCGCTCGGCGGCGCGCCGGACGCGTGGTCGCAGGGTGGGGGGGCTTCGCATGCGATTGTCGAGGCCGAGGTCGACGTCGAGTAGTTGTCGGGCCCGCGCACGCTGCGTGGGGCTGGGCATCGAGACCCCCCCCTTCCCCTGGTGACTTTGTTGGATAAGGGTTCACGTGGCGGTACATTATTGTAGAGTAACGAGGTAGATACGCGTAGGCTGTGTATTTTCCGTGTACAAATTTCACGAGGTCGGAGGAACAGGCCGACTTTCCAAGCATCATAATTCTTTTCTTTTGAAGGGAATCCATCCCGTGTGACTGCCTTTTTCTAAAGCAGGCGTACAGCCATTTCCCAAGCAGGCGTACAGCCTTTTTCCAAGCAGGCAAACAACTAAATCATACACGTGTCTCCCTCCTGCTATGCATCCCGCCCGTTCACAACAGGTACACCCATGCCCGTCCCAAAAGCAGCGTCGTCAAAAAGGCCCAAATCCCCCAACATGGCAGGCCCCCTAGATCTGACGGACCTCCTTGCCGACCATCTCGGGGCGGTCGACCTCCCACTCGTCGCGCAGAACGGCAAAGGTGAGGTCGCTGACGAGCAGGCTCTGCGCGAGGCTCCAGACGAGGGTGATGGCGTAGAAGAAGTTGGCGTTGCCGCTGCCGGCGTAGATCCACAGGTGGTAAAAGGCGGGGCCGAGGAAGGAGGCGTAGAGGATGGCCGAGGCGGTGACAAAGGGGTAGCGCATGAGGGGGAAGACGTGGCGGTAGAGGGGCACGGCGGCGGCGAAAAGGGACGCGTCGGCGAGGGAGGGGTAGGGCTTGAAGATGGCGAGGACGCCGAGCAGCAGGGTCAGGGCGGCGAGGGGCTGGGCGCGCAGGCGCACCGACAGGCCGCCGACGTACGAGGCGAGGTGGAGCCAGAAGACGGCGAGGAAGAAGGCGCGGAACGAGTCGAACATTTCTACGAAAAAGTACCACCAGAGGCCGACGTTGGGCGTCAGGTCGGAGAGCGTCAGCTGCACGCCGTACGTGCTGCCGAGGAAGGCCCAGGAGCCGCCCGTCAGGAGCGCCGAGAGGCCGAGGAGCGCGAGGAGCGTGGCGGCGGCGACGGCGGCGTGGGTGGCGGCGAACCGCACGGGCGAGGCGACACGACGAGCCAGCGCCTGGCGGTCGTAGGCGAGGAGGAGGAGCGGCGGCAAGAGCAGCAGCGGCGACAGCGAGAGGTAGCCGGCCAAGGTCAGGGCGACGACGGCGCTCACGGGGGCGCCGCCGATGGCCTTGGCAATAGCGTGCAGGATGGCGCAGGTCGAGAAGACGCCCGTCGACCGGCCGAGGCACGTGGCGATGGTGAAGGGGTTGAAGAGGAAGGCGGCGGCGACGGCGACGCCGTTCCAGCGTGTGGCGCGGCGCGGTGACGTGAAATGCCTCGACGCGCCGGCCTCGCCCGAATCGGCAATCTTGGCGAGAGCATCAGCGCTCAGGAGGTCGACGAGGATGTAGAGGAGCGATGCGAAGATGGGCCATGCCTTGAGGTCGGGCAGCAGGGAGAAGAGCGGCAGGAGGAGGGGTGCCTGGTGGTAGACGCCGCCGTCGTAAGGCGAGACATTATGATTGTAGAGGAACAGGCCTTCCTGGACTTTTTGTCTGTGTCAGCGATGGGCGGTCATCGACAGGCTCGCGGGGGGTCCAGTGAGGAACTCACGTCGCTTGAAGCTCGTCACAGGCGTCGAGATCTCAACGCGGCCAGTCAACAGGTCGGGCAGTCGCGGAAAGCCGACGAAGAGGACGAGTCGCAGGGCGGCGGCTGCGAGGAAGAGGCCAGCCTTGCCTCCCTTTGTCATGGTGATTTGCTGCATATCTCGGTCATGGCTCGGGGGCATGGCCGTGGCGTTATGGTGGTGATGGTGCAGTGGGAGCTTCGAGGAGTTGAGCAGCTCACCGAAGGTCAGGTACGGTACCTGGCAAGGCAAAGGTAAGGTACTTAGGTACGTTAAGGTACGTGCGTGATGGATGCCACCTGGCGGGACGCGTTGCGCGTCATTGGTCAAAAATGCCCTTCTCGGAGGGGTCTAGTGGGGAGGATTTGGTCCAATCAACCGGCATTTGTCGTTGCCTTTTGGAGACAGGCAAGCTTGCCCATGATATGAATGATCTGGAGTTGAATGTTGATGCACGGAGATACTACTCTGGAATGGATCAAGGCATAGGAAAATAAAGGTATTTGCTGGATGAATTTCATTTACCACTTTGTCATGAAATATCTAGGTTAAACTTGGTTGAGATAAGCAACCCTCCCTCCAACTGCGTGGCAATGCTTAAATCTCTGACATTAGTTTGAAGAGCTCCTTCAGACCGCTTATAGGCCCATGCGGCACCATGGTGCGAGCAAAACGACAGCTTGAGTGGCTTGAGAACATTTACTTCACATGGCTGGGCTGGGAAAAACGACGAGCATTCAACTTCAACCCTCCTCTTCTGCATGAAAGGCGACGGGAGTGTTTGCGAAATGCCAGGACAAGACTACGGCGAGAGGTTGGCCGTGTAGCGTTAATGGAGAGAATAAACGTAGGGAGGTTATATGATCAAGAAAAGGGGAAAAAAAAACCCCGGGCACCAACTAGTCTACCGACATCTAGGGTGGGTTTATTGAGCTGCATACGTCCACCCTGGCACTGACGTTGGCACAAACCGAGCCAGAAAAAAACAACTACTTGTTTCCCTTTTGATTCTATGTTTCAATCGCTTCAGTAGCGCAAGATGCCTTATGTCACTTGAATTCTTCAGAAGCAAAGAGTGACGGAATCAACCGTTCGTCTCTTGGGGTCTCTAAGTGGGTGGAATAATTGATGCCTTGATGCCCCTTGCTTACACTCTAGTCCATTGGCCTTCCTCATGACTACTTCCTCGCTGCTGTCGGTCTTGTCCTCCAAACTTCTGCGGTAACACGCCGGGCAGTCCCCCGCTGGTCTTATGGCTCCCTCGCGTCCTGTCAGAATCCGTCGTGGTAGCGAGTCTGTTGGGAGGCATCTAGGGACGGCTGGAGGACCCTGAAATACGAGACTAAAGGGCCCTCTAAGACACGAAGACCACCGAAAGCCCAGGTTCAGGAATTCCTCTCCCGTATGTTAAGATATCGCTATGGCGGCAACGCTGCGGAAGACCTTCTCTCTGCTCACGCCTCGGCAAGACGCCTCAATACCATTCGCGTACTCTAGTGAGTTATCCCTGCACCTCGTAATATTGTGTGCTTCTCTCAATCAACGAAAGGGGCAACCAAAACCTGGAAAGGTTTCCGCAAGGTTCACGGCCTCCACCCAGAGTACGACAATGACCGGCTGGCTATCTTGTCAAGGGTGATGTTTTATACGAGAAGAGCGGAAAATACCGAAACTCTCCACAGCAATGGAAAGGGAGGCACTAATGCAGCGACGGCATGCAATAGCCGTCCACTGGGCGGGCGATCTTGCCAAACGACATCACACTGCCACTCTGCCACTCCCAGGCATAGAGCCCGCGTTTCATCGCATGAAGTAAACAAACAACTCACTTCATCGTGCACCGCAAGTCTCGTCACCAAAGCAAGATCCACATGTTCCAAAGGAGGGCGACAAGGCAGTATTATTCACAGTTCCAAATACTCTGTCCGCATGCAAGGCTCGTAAAACAATGCACATGATCGCTGCCCATTATGAATAGTGAATCAAACCCCTGATAGAAACCCCCTCATCATCATGCCTCCATCTCTCTCTCTCTCTCGCCCCCTCAAAGGAGGTGAGGCAGAATCCTCTCGTCCGTGTACGCCCACAGCAGAGGCGAGTAGTCGGAGCACCAGGCATTGCCGGTGAACCAGGTGTTCCTGCCGCCCTGCAGATCGTACAGCTTGGAGTAGAAGCCGTCGGCGACGGCTTCGATGGGGACGTGCAGGCCGAGGTCCTTGTGCTGGCCCCAGGCGGCCGTGTCGGGGTTGCCGGGCGAGCCACTGACAGCGTTGCCGACCGTCTTGGCGGCCGTCAGGGCGAGGGTGCGGGCCTTGGCGTTGCTCGGCTCGCCGATGACCTTGACCGTCTGGTAGCCTGGCACGCCGACGCTCTCGAAGCGGAAGACAAAGGGCGAGCTCGGCAGCAGGGTCGGCGACTGGAGGTCGACGTTGTAAAAGTTGGTCAGGTCCGGCATGCTGCTCTTGCGGATGATGCCGACGTGGTAGGGGATGTCGCTAAACTGGCCGAAAAGCTTCTTTTCGTTGTTATCGAGGTCGAAGACGGCGAGGTTCTCGGGCGTCGGCGGGATCGTGATGAGGAGCTTTTTGGCGCGGATGGTGCGGGTGCCGCACCGCCCCTGGACAACGGCCGTCACGCCGGACGTTGTGCGCGTCGACGACACGACGCGGCTCGAGTAGAGAACGTCTTTGCCGAGGAAGGCGGCGACGCGGTCGTACAGGAGCTGGTTGCCGGCGGGCGAGTACACGTAGCCGGCCGCGAGGCCGAGGATGTGCGGCAGGCCAAAGTTCTGGAGCACGTAGAGCGTCGGCGTGTCGAACAGGTTGCCGACGCCGTGGGCGAACTGCCAGACGAGCTGCACCATCTCGGCCGTAATGTTGTTACGGGCCACAAACTTGGAAAACGGCTCGAGGAGCTGAGGGTTGACGGGCTGGGGAATGTCATAGTAGCCCTGAGCGATGCCCGTGTAGGGTGACACCGCTGCGATGTAGTCGCCAATGGGACCGAGGAGCGACAGAATGTCCGTAGCCGTGGCATTCGGGACGACAAACCCCGTCTTGAAGTCGACAAGCGTGGTAGGGAAAGGCGACTGCGCCGAGACGTTGAGGGCGACGTTGAACCGGCCAAAGAAGTTCTGCGTCTGGTTGTTCAGGATGTAGGCCTGGACGCCGTAGTCGATGTGCGCTCCCGTGGCTTGGTCTGTGAAGGTATCGACGTGGCCGCCAAGCTGCTTGTCGCTCTCTACGACCAGCACCTTCTTGCCCTGATCACGGAGTCGAGTAGCAGCATATGCGCCGGTGGCGCCACCGCCAATGATGAGCACATCGACGTTGATCTCGGGGGCGGAGGGGACGGCCTGCACAGACGAGGCGGCCAGAGCCCAAAGGGACAAATGGTGGAAATGCATGGTGATAGGGGTCGCTGGAGGTCTGAAAGAGTGGACACAACTGTTCAAGTTGAAGTATTAGATGTAGATACAGCTACCCTGTACTGAGGACGCGATCCTATCTGGGTGAAGCCATCAAGAGGTCTATATACCAAGAACCATGCCAGGCTACCGGGAGCAGCCGGTGGTGAACTGGGCCGAACAGGCATCATGCGGCTTGTTCGGAACCGTAAGGTTTCCTAGCTTCGTAACTCCTCAAAGCGAGTTCAATATGGTTTGATTAGAGGTTGGCAAGGCATGACTCTCGCTGAGGCTGCGCATGCCGTTGAGGCTTATGTGATTGGGCCGATGCGACTCTGCCCAAGGCTTATTCGCGTACCGGGATCATGGCCCTCACTCTATTAAGCATCTCTTCAGGGAAATGATGCCCACGACTGCCACTCTACGAGGCTCAACCAGTACGGCGGTACCACAATTGTCGCGATAACAATAGTGAACACTAATTGTGTCATGCTGCCATCCTAGACCGCGCCGGAATTGTCATTCCATGTCGTCCGCCCGCTGACGTGAAAGCGCGAGTCTGACTGGCAGGGAGAGACAGGCAGAATGGATCACGGCACTTGTGGGCGGGATCGCGAGCGGAGACGCCACATCAAGCATTGCTGGCTATGGTAATCGATTTTGGTCCATGTCAATTTTCTTCTGATGCCTATTAAAATTCAGAGCAAAGCCAAGGGTTGCGCCCAAGGCAACCAGTCGACGTCGTGGCCGATGTCAACTCTACCTTAGTCAAAAGACACCCCCAACGCCCGAGATGATGTTCAAGTCCCAGGTATTCTGACCCTCCCCACCGTTACGCCATTAAAAAGAAGTACATCGTCCGCGTGTCCACGGCATCTGAGGACGGCACGTTGCGCCGGGCTGAAAACAAGAAAGAGCGCCGCACGGAACGAATTCATATGCCCCATGTCGCCTGTTGGGTCCAGAATCTGAGCCGGCAGGACGGGGTCTCCGAGCGCCCGTCAATGGATGGAGGGCGGGGCCTTCGAGCGCCCGTCTATGCAATGAGGACGGCGGCCAGCGCGGCGCCGGCCATGGGCCACCAGCCGACATTATGCACGAGCGCATGCATGGCAGCGCTCTCGGCGTTGGCGTCGGCGAGGGTCGTGTCGTTGGGCAGGGTGCCGTTGAGGAGGAGGGTGCTTCTGCCATCGCGCTCGCCGACATCAATGACCGACTTGTTGAGGGCGGCGTAGGAGCCGTTGCCGATCAGCTCGTTGAGGAAGGCGTCGCGGTCGCCGCGGTCCTGGGGCTCGTCGCAGCCGCAGGGCAGTTCCTCGATGCAGCCGCAGATGACGGGCTTGGTCTGGTTCTCGTTGGCCGACTCGTTGAAGAAGGTGTGGGTGTTGTTGAACTCGTAGTGCTGGACGCGGTGGCCGTACCAGCTGCCGGGCCAGAAGTAGAGGGCGGCAGCGCCGACGAGGACAAAGGGCGCGATGAAGCCGACAGGACTGCGGTTGCCGGCGCGATAGGGGGCCACGGCACCACCTCCGTAGTAGCGACCGCCGCCGAATCTGGGCTGGGGACCGCTGCCGCCGACGGTGCGTCCGCCCTGGGAACCGCCCGTGTTGGGAGGGCGACTGGCACGAGAGAGGGTCAGTGTCGTTGTCCCGTGAAAAGGGAGGGGTGGGTTGGAAGAACGATGGGATGCTTACCCGCTGTTGCTGCTTCTGCTGCCGCCTCCACCACGGTTGCCTCCACCGCCGCCGCCGCCACCGCGACCACCACCGCCTCCGCCCTTGCGCTTCCACAGTTCAGAGTCGTGCTCGTTGCGGGCGATGCGCTCAACGTTGTGGTGTTCGGGCGCTACGAGGGCGAGGGCGAATGTGAAGGCGGTGAGCACCGTCGCGAGGAAGGTCTGGATTTTCATGTTGGTCTGTCCGGCCCGGTCGGGTTCCTTTCCGATGGGAGTCTCGATAAGCGGTAGGTGTAGACGTAGATGGACCCAGGTATAGGTAGATGCACACGAGAGAAAAGTAAAGTAGTATGCGCAGCCTTTCTCTGATCGCCAAGGGGGTGCTGTGCTATGCTGTGCTATGCTGAGAAGCAGGAAGGTGTTGGTGTTGGTGTTGGTGTTGGTGTCTGAAAAATGGTGCGCGGACAAGACGCAGACTCAGCCGCCGCGGGAGGCGTTTGGCCTAATAAGCAATGCGCTGGTGGTGACTGCCCCGACCCAAGCACAATGGTCGGAGGCGGAAGGAAGGGTCGTTGTTAGCGGGGAAGTTGCAGTGCTGGGCCGCACTTGCCTTGCCTGGCTTGCCTGGTTTCGGGGCGCGGCTGGTGGGCGTGGGCGTGGGCGGTGCACTTGTTTGTGCCTTAGTGGGCCGCCGATGAACCAGTGGCGGGGTTTTGTGGAGATGACACCTCCGTTTCGACGCCTCACAGAGGCGAAGAAGGTCTTGGGAGCTGATACGGCGCGATGCAGTGGTTCTTCATCGACAATGACGTTATAGACGGAGCCTTTCGGTCGATGACGGTATCGAGTGGCGATCCAGGGTCCTGATCGCTGGCACGAGTGTGAGTTGTGAGTGGTATTCCTTCGGGTCAGTACAATGATGCAGAGGATTGTCCTGTCCGTGGCTAAAATGACCTCTGAGGTGACTAGGTAGGCACCTAATGTACTACGTCAGTTCGTGTCATCAGCTGTTTGGCCAAGGCATTTCATCCCGTCTTATAGCCTCGTCGTGCCTCGCGCATCCATTTTCCCTCAAACGCTCCAGCCCAAACACCAAACTTGAGAATAGTCTTTGAGGCAGCAAACGGGCCCTTTGAGCCACAGAACCTCCGTTTGCACCATCACGTCTTTGAGCGCACCGCTTCTCGGTCGCATCGGCAGCCCAACAGGACAATTCTTTCTGAGGCCCCCCCTGCACCCCACCTCTGGTGCACATCTCGGGCACGGTTGAGCAAAGCAAATGACGCTCTTGGCCCCTAGACCCAGGCCCTGCACGAAAGCGACCTCCCAATTGGGGTTTGGGGCAGCTTTGGGGGCAGTTGTGGGTTGGGCATTTGCTCGCTTTGGTCTCGGCACCGTGCTATCCGTAGGGCCATGTGTGCTGTCGAGCTTCTGATTTGGCGACGGTCCAGAGTGTTGCCTCCATCCCTGCGGACCGTCTTTGTAAGCTTAATAGTGGGCGTGACCCAGTATCGAAGCTGGTGTCATCCCAGTCGAGGCTGGTGTCACCCCAGCCGCAAGGCTGTGTGCATTGGTGTCAGCCGGAACATCTTTGATCACCAGCCATGTGCTTCCACGCCTCGTGCCAGATCTGATTGCCTTGCACGTCCACTGCAAACATGGCCTGATGTTGCTTGACTCTCCCAACCTCCCCTGCAGCCCGTCAAACTGGATGGCTTTCTAGATCCTGTCTTCTTGCGAACCGCACCGTGCGTGCGTCGTGCCTTGCAGAAAGCCTGATGAGGGGAGGAGGGGCAGCTCCACCCACGAACTCAGCTTACCCGACCCTCACCAACATGCTCGGCCAGCCATCGACCATCAACCATCTACCATCCACCGTCACTATCAACCTACCCTCACGCGGCGCTTCTTACCATCCCTGCATTGTCCCCATTCTTCATCTCCGAAAACAGCTTTCGCGACCGCCCTCATGTCGAGCCGTGACAAGAGCCTCCTCGACAGGCTGAATGCCCTCAAGGGAGGCTCAGGCTCCAGCCCCCACACCAACAACTCACCCATCTCTCTCGACCGCTCAGCAAAGTAAATCTCAGCCCGCTGCTGCCTGCCAGCTCAATCTTGCGTAGGAGAAAGAACAACCCAAGCTAAGCAAAGTGTTTTTGTCACAAAAATACAGTGCCCTCAATGTCTCCATCGGCATCGAGCCTGCCAAGCCAGCATCGAGGGAAGATGCCCTCGCCGCCCGCCTGCGTTCCCTGAGGAACACACCGGAGCGTGACACACCGCCCGCCACCGCCGCCTCCTCGCAGGCCGCGCCGCCGACGCCGACGCCGAAACAAGCTTCTGCCTCATCGCCGCTGCAGCAGGAACAGGAGCAGGAGCAGCCCCACGATGTCGATCCACTCCTGCAGACCGACGATCAGACCCTCGAGGAACTCCTCCAAGATGAGGATCCCGAGGCTGACCCCAGGTGGTCCCTTGATCTGCAGCCCGAGACGGCACGCGTCGAGGCTCTTCTTCAGGAGCTCTCCAAGGACATCCACCTGCAAGACGACAAGTCGGCTGGTGGAAAAGATGCCTCCGAGGCTGAAAACCGGGATGCGGACGATGACACGGACGGCGAAGAGATGAATCGTGACGTCGACGCGCTGCTAGCTCAGGCTCTCGACGAGGCCGAACTCGATGCGAAGCTCAACCCAAAGTCATACGGCTTACGAGACGGGCCGACGGAGAACCCGCCACGTGAGACGGCAGACGGGCCTCAGAAAGGGAATGCCGGACGCCAGACGCCCGAGGCCGCTGCCTCCCCCCTTTCCCTGCCCTCTGTTCCGTCCGCCATAACCCCCCACCAGGACGTCGACGACGGCGACGACGGCGAACCGTCCCTGTCTCTGCCTTCGGTCCCCTCTGGCCCCGCCACCTCCTCGCGTCCTTCAGATGACGACTCTCTGACAGCCCGCATGGCCGCCCTCCGCCTGCCCTCGTCAGACCAAGACGCCGAGGCCGCCGCCGCCGACGACATTGGACTCCCCTCCGTGCCCAGCGACCAGCCGGCGAACCGCCTGCGCTCGCGCACGGGCTACACCGACGACGACGCCAAGAATTGGTGCACCGTCTGCCTCGAGGATGCGACGCTGCGGTGTCTCGGCTGCGACGACGACGGCTACTGCACGCGGTGCTGGCGCGAGATGCACGTCGGGCCCGCCGCTGCCTTTGACGACCGCACGCACAAGGCCGTGCTGCTGGGGCGGGATCCGCGGCCCAAAAGGGTGGCACTGGGGGCGTGAGCGCTGGCGGCCTGACGTCCTGTCTGGGCACGCGTGTAGGACCATGGTGATGTCCTCTGACGTCACACTTGAGCATCATCCGATGTGAAGCCTCTTTTCTCCTTCTTCATCATGTCACATGTCGTCGGTGTCTGGCGCAAGCCAGGTACACGCTCGCAAGTCAAACTGGTACATGTCATCTCGTTGCAGCCGCTCAAGCCAACGCAGTGCGTGTCATTATCCTCGTCATAGCTGTACCTAAAAGAACCACCCGGGACTCCTAGCCGTGTACCACCCCGTGCTACAGCCCAAACCGTGTCCGTCCGAATGCCGTGCCAATTCCTCGTGCAACCCGAACCAGACCAGATCAAAAAAAAAAAGGAGGAAGGAAAAAAAAAAGGCTAAGATCAAATATTCCTCGAGTACGTGTACAACCAAGGATCGCTAAAGATATTGAAGAACAAGAAAGAGTCGATGTGCCGCATCATTTTAGGTCAAGGGATGGTGCCAGGCCAGCCACGTGCGAGCGACTACTGCGTGGACGCGCCCTGGGTGCCGTAGTCGCCGTTGCGCCCGGTGCGCCCGGTGATGTCCTGCCAGGTGGCGCCAAAGCGGCGCCCGGTGCTGGCCAGCAGGCCCTCCTCCTCGTCGGCCTCGGCGTCCTCGTCGAGCTCGGACAGGTTGAGCTTGGGGGTGCGGAAGAGGCCGGTGACGAAGACGACGAGGAAGACGGCGAGAAAGGCGAACTGGGCCCAGAAGGCGACGGCGCCGAAAAAGGGCCACGTGATGGTGACGCGGTTGAGGAACTCGGACATGACGGACGGCGTGCACACGCTGCGGGCCTCCTTGGACAGGGCCTCGGAGCAGCTGACGACGTAGTCGGGGCGGTCGCGGCAGTCGGGCCGCTCGCCCTGGCCGTGCGGCGCCGAGCACCAGGTCTGGGTGCCGTAGATGGAGTACTGGGGCGCGATGAGCATGGCGATCGAGTAGTTGATGGCGAGGATGATGAGGGCCAGCATGACGGTGGCGATGAGCAGGGCCTGCGGCGCCGTGCGGCCCTTGCGGATCTGGAAGATGCGGACCCAGAGGAAGCGGATGCCGACGGCGGCGATGCCGGTGATGGAGCTGCTGAAGAGGAACAGGACGAGGAGGGTCATGAGGATGTAGTCGACGGGGAAGGCGCGAGCCGACTTGAGGAAGACCCAGTTGATGGGCTGGAAAATGTTGAGGTGACCGAGGATGTAGCCGCAGCGCTGCTTGCAGAGGGAGTTCTTGGCCTTGTCAATGCCCGTGATGAGCATGGAGACCCAGATGAAGAGGGCAATGAGGAGCAGGAGGATGCCGCCGAGCAGCTTGACGGGACGGAACACGGCGCAGACCTTGAGCCAGACCTGGTAGATCTTGCTGCGTCCCTCGCCCGAGGCTTCGGCGGCGATGCGCTCGCGACGGCGCAGCGTGCGCTCCTCGCGCATGAGGGCCTCGAGCTCGCGGCGGTCCTTGGAGGGCATGCCGTCCTGGCGGCCCGCATTGCGCATCTCGAGCTGACGCTGGCGCTCCTGGTTCTGCTCCAGGGCGGTGGCGGTCGACTCGGTGAGCTGGGGCGCCGAGATGGCGGGTGCCGACTTGATGAAGGACATGGGGAGCAGGGCCAGTCCGGCGGCCGTGTAGACGACGTAGAGAAGGGTGCCGAGGGTGACGAGGAGGCCGAGCGTGAACGCCAGGGCCTTCTGTCCATTGTTCTCGGCCAGGAGTCGCTGGAAGTAGTCGAGATCCCAGCCTGCCTTGGAATCGTGGCCGGCGGCGGGCACGAAGAAGCCGACGAGGAAGAGGATCAGCACGAGAGCGACAAAGACGGCCGTGTATTTGAGGGCGCTGACAAGACGGGCGGCAAAGGGTCGGGTTCCCTCCTCGTCTTCGATCTCGTCGTACTCCTCGTAGAAGAAGTAGGTGAAGGGGATGACGAGGAGACACAGCAGGGCGTCGAAGCTGTAGAGCGAGTAGTAGACGATGCGAAGGGTCTGGAGGATGTTGTGGACGCGACTTTCGGTAGCCCAGTCCTTCTTGACGCCGAGGGTGGCCGATGTCGTGGACGACACGAGGGCAATGTCGACAGGCAGCAGGAGGACGGTGGCGAGCAGGGCGGTCAAGCTGACAATGGCGACCGTGCTGACGAGGGCCGATCGGTCGCGGGGGGCTTGCCACGTGAAGGTCGTGATGGAGGCAATGAGGAGGCAGAGGGCGATGACGGCGGCGTAGGTGACCCAGATCAGACTGGTCTGGAGGAGGCCGGCGCTGGCCATGGTTGTCACGTCTGCCATGATGTGGCTGTGCTCTATGCTCTGTGCTCTGGTGGAAGGTGTCGACGAGGAGAAGAAGAAGTAGTTGAGCAAGGTGGGTGGAGGGAGAGATTCGTCGTTGTGACCTTGGAGAGGAAGGTGGAAAGAGTGCGTACTGAGGAGGTAGAAACAGGCCGGGGTGAGCTCTCGCAGCTCTTTGGGGCCCACGGCCTATTGCCTGGCGTTTGGGCTTCCTGGTTCTTGGCGAAGCTGCACCAGTGACGCAACAACACAGAGCTAGTGTGGAACGCATGTGGCCCGTGCGTGTTATGCTCGGGAGATGTTCGGGGCCTATGCCTGGCGTACCTGTTCCTTCTTCTGGACGGCACTGGGCATCTCCCATTGTACATGTAGAGAGACCTTATGTAATCATTCAAGGTAAGACGGGGCCTCGCTGAGCTCAGGCACGAGGAGCTCTTTCTTGTCTTGGGTCTTGCTTGCTCGAAAACCTCCCCTCCGCGACGACCCATTGGATCTACACAAGGCTACGACTCTCCTCACACTTGCCACGAGGGCATGAGGGAAGACGCCAACAGCACTCTTCTCGGATTCTGACGCCATCCCCGACACCCAATGCGCCCGAGAACTGCCCGATGAACTGCTGCCCGCCATGCAGTGCTACACCGAGCTCGTTCCCCCGACGCTGGTGACCTGCTCCGTGTCGCTTCCCTTCACCTCGGCCAAGACCGAAAACCTCATCGTCTCCAAGGGCTCGCTGCTTCAGATCTTCGCCGTCAAGACTGTGTCCACCGAGATCGACACGTCCCAGATCCAGGCCAAGTCGTCGAGCAAGGCTGGCGAGACCTATGACAGGCGCATCAACGATGACGATGGTCTCGAATCCGCTTTCCTCGGGGGCGATGGCATGCTCATGCGCGCCGACCGCACAACCAACACACGTCTCGTTCTCGTTGCCGAATACCCTGTCCACGGCGTCATCGCAGGCCTGGCGCGCGTCAAGATCCAGAGCTCCAGGTCAGGCGGCGAGGCTCTGCTCGTCCACAGTCGCACGGCGCGGTTGAGTCTCCTGCAGTGGGACCCCGAGAAGCACGGCGTCGAGGACGTTTCCATTCACTTTTACGAGAAGGAGGAGTGGCAGGGTTCGCCGATGGACGGCCCCCTGCGACAGCACGCCACCATCCTCCAGGCCGACCCGCAGTCGCGATGCGCCGCCCTCAAGTTCGGCCTGCGCAAGATCGCCTTCCTTCCCTTCCGACAGATCGACGGGGACATAGACATGGATGACTGGGATGAGGAGGTGGACGGCCCGCGGCCGGAAGAGGAGCCGCTAGCAGCTGCGGCCGTCAATGGAACTAGCAGCAGCAGCAGCAGCGTAGCACCTGTACCATACACTCCCTCCTTCGTCCTCGCGCTGCCCCAGCTTGATCCTGAGATCCTTCACCCTGTGCACTTCGCCTTCTTGCATGAGTACCGCGAGCCCACCCTCGGCATCATCTCCTCCAGCAACCGCCGCCTCAAGATGGAACCCCAAAAGGACCACTTTACCTTCAAGGTCTTTACCGTCGACCTCCTCCAGAAGGCCTCGACCGCCATCCTCACCGTCTCGAACCTGCCGCAGTCATTGAAGAAGGTCGTCGCTCTGCCGAAGCCCATGGGGGGTGCCCTCCTCATCGGCGAGAACGAGCTGATCCACATCGATCAGGCCGGCAAGGCGCACGGCGTCGCCGTCAATCCTTACGCCGCCAAGATGACCAAGTTCCCCCTGGCAGACCAGTCCGAGCTCAAACTGCGACTGGAGCACTGCGAGGTCGAGCTCATGTCGCCTGACAACGGCGAGATGCTGCTCGTGACGCGGCACGGCGAGATGGCCGTCGTCACCTTCAAGATGGATGGCCGCAGCGTCTCCGGCGTCAGCGTCAAGGTCGTCGCCACGGAAAATGGAGGCGACATCCTTCCCTTCCGGGCCGCGTGTCTGACCAAGGTCAGCAAGAACAGTATGTTCTACGGCACGATCGGGGGTGACTCTCAAGTGATCGGCTGGAGCAGGCAACATGTGCAAACGGCACGGAAGAAGGCGCGTCTGTTGGACGAGTCACTCGACTATGACCTCGACGAAGATGAACTGGACGACGACGACGACGACGACCTGTACGGCGAAGGCACGGTGGCCCCTCAACCTTCGGCTGCCGCTGGATCGGCCAAGGGCGGAGACGTGGTATTTCGCGTTCACGACTCGCTGCTCAGCCTGTCCCCCATCATGGACATGGCATATGGCAAGACGGCCTTCTTCCCCGGCAGCGAGGAGGCAAAGAACTCAGAAGGCGTACGGTCCGAGCTTGACCTCGTTTGTGCCGTCGGACGGCATCGCGGGGGTTCCCTTGCTCTCATCAACCAGCACATTCAGCCCAGGGTCATCGGACGCTTTGAGTTTCCGGAAGCTCGTGGCTTTTGGACGACGCGCGTGCAGAAGACGATTGCCAAGTCACTCCAGGGGGAGAAGGGGGCCAATCTGGCCGTCGGCAACGACTACGGATCTGTGACGCAGTATGATAAATTTATGATCGTGGCCAAGGTCGACTTGGACGGCTACGAAACGTCCGACGTCTATGCACTCACGGGTGCAGGCTTTGAGGCTCTGTCTGGCACCGAGTTCGACCCCGCCGCTGGACTGACGATCGAGGCCGGAACGATGGGCAACGATATGAGGATCATTCAGGTGCTCCG